GATTTCCTTGAACAATTAGGAGCTACACAAAAGATATTTCTTGATTTCAGTGATAGTGCAGCTGCTTTTTGTTTTCAAAGAAAGAGGATAAAAGAAGCTGCTACTGCCTAGGATGCCTACCCCTGTACTCCTTGCAGGCGAGTTTGCGCATCCAGCATTGGTCTTCATGCAAATGTTGTCTCAATCAAACACCAGCCATTGAATTGTCCCGCCCCCTCATCTGTCTCTAGAGACAGGATATACCATCTCAGAGAGGCTGTCTACTACCAATTAATTATAAAAATTAAATTTCCAAAAAAAGAAGAATAGCCAAGATATGAAAGAAAGGGAAAATTTACATTGAAAGACCGACAAAGGGGCCGTAAGTTTTTAACAAAGGTTGCGATTGGTTGATTTAAACCACAACTTTGAATGTGATTGGTTTATTGAACTGTGTGATAAAAAAACTGTCCTATGACTTAGCAAGTGAATTAGTGGAAAATAAGGAGTTTTTAAACCAATCACAATCGAGGAAATTGTAATTTTTATGATTGATAAAAAAATTCCAATGAAAGGTTGTAAAGGTCAGATGCATCTAGGCTTTTAGTTCTTTGGTTTTTTCATTTCAGTTACATCTACAAAGTGGACAAGAGTGTCTGTTTTATTAACCATCTTCTTGTGTTAAAGCCTATCAGTTTACTAATTGATACAATCACAAATAGCTTCCTGGCTTTCGTCAATGCTTGTTGCAGAGGTTTCCAGATCGCAACAAAATTTGCTTAGTGAATAAACTTATTCGTCTTCGTCATCACTAGTTTGGTGACTTGTTTAATAGATTCTTGAAAAAGAAAACAGGTTTCGTTTTCGCAGTTTTAGTTGCAAGTTTTGAATTTGCCAGTTTTCGAGAATAAAAATACACGGTTTCTGGCCGTTTCCGTGGAAACGGTCAGTATGGCAATATCCCGACCGATTAAAAACCAATGAGAACGCTCGGATTCACCTCCGCACTACCCTGCCATATAATAATAACACACAATAATGTTATATACATTTATAAAAATTACAAAAGAAAATAAGGCTAAGAAAGGCCTAGAAAGTGATAGAATTCATGGAAAGACTGATTTACCAGATAATTCGGGGATTGACACAACTGCAATCTAATGTAAAGTGAATACATGTAACTAATAATCTTAAAAATCTTTGAATTAGAGAAGGCTTGAGAATTATTTCATGTAGAGTTCCATACTTTGGAGACCCTAAATCTTGCAAGCGTAGTTTACTCGGGTTTTCCCCTCAAAATAAGCGAGTGGTTACCAATGTATTTCCAGTGTGGGTGCCATTAGTTACATAAGTGTCATCAGAGTGAAAGATTCACTACGGATTAGAAAACACGGTTGCCTCCCTTTCGCAAACAAAACCGGGATTTCCTTCAGAATCATGACAATGAATGTCAAGCCAGCCATCGTTCCACTCTACGCCATAGTGCAACCCAACCACCATCTGAGCGCAATCTTCATCCTGCCTGTTTGGTTCACGATGCTGCCACTGGGCAAAGGTCAGAGGGGAGCCATCATCCCATCTCCAAACCGTTTTGTTGGCTGAATCAAGACTCAGTCCAATCCACACGCGGCCGTAATGAGTAGGAAGGACATCGTTAATGACAAATTTGTGTTCATCAGCATTCTTAAACATTACCAAGTTACTGGCGAATGATTGGCAGTGTGATTTAGCTTGGACCCATTCCTCCTTCACTTGATTGAAATACTTGTAACAAGTAGATTTGAAGGACTTCCATCCTTGATCAACACAAGGGGCTGTTTTGAAAAAATTAAATAATAATAAAACCGTTCACACACACACGCACACCAAGAAATAAAGCGATTGAAGTTGTTAATCAGTTGGTAGACCGGTCTGTGCATCATTTTCTGAAGGCTATTAGCCTTTCCACGCGAAGATAAAGGAACTGTAGAAGTCTCTAGGCAGACTAAACGACAGTGTTTACTTACAATAGAGTTTCTTAGAGGAATTGTTACCATGGGGAAGTAACGGACAACACAACATTTAGAAAAAACTTGGAAAAGGAAAAAGGACAGATAATACTATTCCCATTACGCCTATTTGAAATAATGGTAATGCAAAGGATAAAAAAATAAGAGACTGGAAGAAACATCATAGTATACCCTCTGAGTTGTCAATACACTTTCAATTTGGTATCGAGAAGATACCCAAGTTGCTACAAATTCAATTTAATTTTTCCTAATCACGGCGTTTATACTCACTTATCAGGAAGTTTTGAAAAAGTTCTGCCAAATTTCCGTAATAAGCGCAAAAGCTAGCTAAAAATCTGACTCTTATAGAGGAGACGAACCGTCCTTCAAATCCTAGCAATAAACGCAGGAGATTGTATCAAACCAAGTACATTTGGTAGTTTACGGGCACGACTGATATTTCGAAAGTTTTTGCAATGTCAAACTTTTTGAAAACATCATGAATGAAGTAGATGTTCTTATGACGTCACCCTCTAAAGCTACTCTGTAGGTCCTGATTGCTTAATGCCCATCATACCTTTCAACGACTTAAGAAATGCTCCATGCTGCCTGTGAATCGATCATTTTTTACAATAATTGTGACGGACAAACTAAGGTTAATGTTTTTCGTAGCTTTCTAGAAATTAACAAGTTTTGTTTATCTATATAATCTTACACATACCAATGACCAGTGGGGGACAAGATATTATGTTAAGTATACGATACTCAAAGTAATTGAATTAATGAACTTACTGCGCTCGCAGTTTTTTCCAGCATAGTTTCCAGTGCAAGTGCACCTATAGTCATTTGTTTCATTAAGTCTTCGGCAGGTGCCTCCGTTCTGACAAGGAGAACTTTCACATGGATTCTGTAATGAAACAAATAACTCTTTGACTCCGAAAGCCTAACATTTCAGATGCAAAACATCGAAATAATAATAACAAAACTTTTAGATAGCAATAGTAGAGATGGTAAGTTTTGAGCTCGGTGAAGAATTAATAAAGATGTTTTTTCGTAGAAAACATCTTTCTTAATAGCAAAACTGTCAAACAGAAATTCACGCAGCAATCAGGCTACACCCAACTAGCCCTAAAAATTTTACTTACTCACCGGAATGAAGTCATGATGATAGCTTTCGTTCGCCTGAAAGCTCAGTGCTGGCAAAGTGTGTTTATCGGAAGACATCAACTCGCACCAAACCTTTCCATTACTTTCTACGTGAATGCAGATATTTGCTGAGAAACATTCGAGGCTTCTCAAACATTTCCACAAGCAGTGTTCTCGAGTTTCTTCATAACTAACCACAATCTTTTTACCATCAAGAGCGTGGAATAACTCAATTTTAAAGTTAACAAACCGAAATCTTTTCGATGTGACTCGGTAAAGAGTTTCCTCTTCCGACAGAACAACAGCATACGAAATGCAAGTTAAAAACAAAGCGGCAGTAACAAACTTCCACAAAATCATCTTTGTTAGATAGGTAACTTCATTTCAACTGACCCAGACATATTCAACAATGCTTTAATAATTTAACTTTGCATACACTCAATTAATTGTAAGAAGGAATGGATATTTCATTGTTTAATTAACATAAAAATTACAATTTTCTCGATTGTAATTGGTTAAAGAAACCTCCTATTTCAAATATGTAGTTTGAATCAAACAATCACTGTCATAGTTGTAGTTTAAATCAATTAATCACAACCTTGGTTTTAATCACCATTATAGAAACAATGTACAGACTCCTAAATTGGAGCTGCCTTCAAAATGGAGAATTTCTTGGTAGTCTTTTAGTACAAATTTTCTCTTTCTTTTAAAGCTTAGATATTCCTCTTATCTCGGAGATTATAATTTTTATGATTAATTGGTCTTGAGACTTCGTGTCGTCCAATCCGGTCTATAATCATTCGTGTGATAAACAAATCGGATGATTCTGTTATCAGTCGTATCAATTGGACTTCACCCAGTCCTATTACCATTACTTAGTCATTGCTGTTTATTCCCAAAATCTTCAATATAATGTCGGGTTGTCATAGCAAAGAAAGAAATTTCCTTAATATGTTGAAAAGCACCCAGAGGATTATTCAAGTTGACAATTAATGTGAACGGAGGAAAAGTAAAAAAACTAAGCGCAAACAATCAATAGTAGGATTCGCATGTGGAGTGCGAAGTTTAAATTTAACGTTTGTAACCGACTTTATTTTTTCATCATACTGTGTAATCATATCGATGTTATCACTATCGTTACTGAAACGAAATTTCAAAGAAACTACATTATGTATTCTCTCAAATGCATCAGTAATGCTTCGAAAATATTCTGTAGTTGAAGAACAATTGCAAATGCTTAGCTGTCGATGTAATTCCGTAACGTTTTGGTAAACTGAGGGCACAGAGATCAGAGTATGTAACACGAAAATCGTTAAAATTTCAATAAGGGGCGAAAACACTGAGGTCGATCTTCAAAACGCACAGCGAAGGAGTGATATGTAAACTCCAGACTACCAAGGAACCAATCCATTTGAGACACTTTATAGGATTTTGACGCGAGAAAACAGATTCTAATTCCATTTGAGCTAGCCAGTTTGCGTGGGGTCTTCTTTCAATTATTCCTTTGAGGTCTCCTACGGCTCATAAATAAATCATAGTCCTTGCACACAGTTTGTTTTAATTTGTTTTGTTCATTTCTAGTTTTCTTTGTTTTTTTGGCTCTGTGAGAAATCTCAAGGCAATACAGGCTTAGATATTACGCTTTCAAATTCATTTGTCATGCGATGTATTCTACTGGGCGTGCGAAATTTCGAACATTACACAGATGCTCGTTTAAATTCAAAACCAACCACAAATAACAAACAGTAAAAAACTAAATACAAAGCCTATAGAACGTGGAATAACTTTCTAACAACAGTGGAAAGTCTTGTTCATTTGAAATAATTTAGAGACTGACTGATGCATCTAACTAAATACTTCTATTTCTTGGCATAATCTTTCAACACACATGATAATGTAGTAAGTTTATTTTTGTTCTGTTTGTTAGGTAACACTCAAAGCAGGGCTTACGCACTTTTTCAGACTGAAACACTTTTCCAGGAATTTTCCAGGACTCGAAGATTAACATTAACCCTTTCCCTCTAAGTAAACCAAATTTCTACCTGAAATATCTCAATGGCTTGTGATGCGAATAAAGGAAAACAGACAGTGTACAACATATGACATATCACCCAGGTTTTCAAGACTCTAAAGGACTAATCAGGGATATTTTTCTGGGGTTTTCTGGTGCTGGAAAATTCCTGTACAAAATCCCAGGACATAACCCATTATATCCTCAGCATCAGTATACAAATTCTCCACACTGTTCTCTATACATTTCTTACCGAATTCACAGGGATAACCTTTTTTTTTTAAAAAAAGAGCTTCTTGAGTAAGTGGTCATTATTAAGTAGTGACAAAGTACAGAAAAATTAGATGCAAATCACTCTCAGGGGCTTAAGGGTTAAATAGTTTTTCCAGGACCTGTACAAACCCTGTCAATACAGGTTACAGACGTTCTCTCCAGGAAATACAGAGGAGTTTGCAAAGAACTTATGCTAGACAAAGAAAATAATTAAAATAACTGCACCATTGTTGTAACAAACGTCAGAGAACAAATAAATGTGGGCTGAATGATTGTCTGATTGATTAACAGATTGAAAAAATTATGGATAATATAATTGAATGATTAATTGATTCATTGATTGAATGGTTCAAAGAATGATTGAGCAAATAATTAAATGATTAATTAATCAGTCAAATAACATGTGGATGATATAATAAGAAGATTGATTAGATTATTGATTGAATGATTATGTAAAGGCAGGGAGTTTTAATCTGAATGGCATAATTACATGTATGTGTAGGCATGCATATTTGACTGTATACCTAACCATAAATGGCCTTAAACAACACATGTAAATAATTGTCTTCTTAGTTGAAAAGTTCAAACATCTGTTTGGGTTGCTTTAACAATTCTCTAGTTTACACTGTACATCTCTACTCCAGGATGGATTTTACCACAATAAAGTTGGTGGGAAGTTACTCTGAGGTCTGGCTTTTAGATAATAACAAGGTGCCAGAATTTTGTTTGTTTGTCAATTTCTTAATTTATGTTTGTTTGCTGGTTTTCTTTTCAATTGCTTTCTTTTTTCTTTCACTACTTCAAGGAGACAGGATTGCATGATTAAATTCCAAGTCCATAACTGCTTTCTTTGACAAACATTTCCCCACACACAACTTACATTAAGTAACACCTTTTGAAAAAACTGCCTGATCACTTCTCTTTGTTTGTGGGCCACTGTATGCTGTAGAGGTATATTTTAGGCAGTTTCTAGTGCATCTTGTATCTGTAGAGATTTAACGAAAGCTCTGATGTAGTCCACCTGTTGAGATCTTGCCAAGTGAAGAATTTCCACCAAGTTCTGTCTTTCTCTTTGTTATCTTTTTGACAGGTGCTCTCCATAAACCCTGTATCTTGGTATTTATCCCCCTGATGACTGCTTGAACAGGTAACAGATTTCATCTGAGCTGGGTTAAACAAACTGTTCAAGTCAGGGGGGTCTTCCATGCTTAGATGGGGATAAAACTGCTTTATCAACTTAAACTGGGGGTCATGGAACTTTACCGTTGATGGACACACCAAGAAAACCTGTTAAAACACATGAATAGTCTGTTAGTAAATACAGTGAACACTTACACTAAGCCACTGTGATATGTAATGCACTCAATACTCGGCATTTCTGTACACTGGATGGTTAGAAATGCCATCAATTCAATAACATAACTGGTTTTATTTTGAAGCATTATTTTTATTTCCAACCTGTTCCCATCTCAAAGAGAAGGGATGTTCTGTTTACCAACAACCTGCTTATCTAAAACTGACAAAGAGGGACCTACTTATCTCACATTGGATTGGAGATGGGAGTGCTTTATCATACCACAATAGTAAACTACAGGCTCAATTATAACACAATTAAACCTTTAATTCCCAGAAACGATTACAATGTATCTTCTCCTTGTGATCCCAATGTGTTTCCTCATAAACAGATTATGAGAACAGGCCAGTTTATCATGAAGTGAGTGTCATCTTGATATACCACTTAATTCTTCTGTCTCAGTCACAAATAAAAATGTGGAAGTCAATTGAGAGGATTACTAATCTAAGGGCTAAACTATTGCACACTTCATGTTAAACCCTGATTTCTAAAGATCTCATAAAAATGTTAAACCAATAAACATTAAAGTTTGTCATTGTACTATTTCATTAACATTGGATTTGTGCTCATTCATCTGTGCATACTTTAGTTTGCTGCCCCATAACTCTCTGAAAGATTCTTCATTCAATGTAATTTTATGAAATTACAGAGGGACATGCATTCACACATTTAACAGTCAAATCAGCAGTACAGTGTACGCCAAACTTATGCAATACTAACAAATTAAAGTGTTTTACTAGGATTTACCTCTTTCTTCATTCCACGAGCCTCAGTTTTCTCCAAAATCACCGTCAAATGATTGTTTAGTTCATATTGTGAAGCACCTTTTAAGTCATACAATGCCAGGTTGTGATACATCCCTTTGTGGGAACTATAAGCCAACTTGGGCCATGCTAAAAGATGTTGGGGTGGCATATAGGTGTGGTAAAAAGTTATATGAATTGATGTGCTCAAAGTATTAATCCGTGTGAGGTGAAGATGTCTTTGGAGATGTTCCAGACATGGGTAGACACCCCCTTGATGCAATATTCCAAACATCATACAGCCAAGTATGTTCCAGATAAACCATGATAACAGCAACAAGTGTGTAAAAGATGAAGAAAAGAAGCTTTGAGAAAAAACAACTACAAGTGGAATGAGAACTGGGGTGATAAATCGCGCCTCTTGATGTGGTATTAACGACAGCAACACCACAGGAACTAAAATACTACAAAAAAGCATCCTTAAAATGAAATAAGCTTTTAAATCATAGCTAGTATTGTCCTTTTGATCATTTGTGCTTTCCAAAGTTGTTATAGGTGCAAAAAATTTTCTTCCCATCATGGCATAGACAGTGTATATATACAAAACTAAAGTTAGCGGTCCAAACAAAAGTAGCATGTTAACTGCAAAATGTGTAATCCTTGGATGGAGACCATGTTCTTCCAGTGAGCTGGTGTCCATGTTGTACAAGAAAAAGTTTACAGGAGTCAAAACAAATTTTCTTATCTGCAAATACCCGAAGTAATAAGAGTCTAATATAATCAAACTAACAATTGTCAGAGCTCCACCAAGACCCAACCAAATGCAGTATTTCATAATATTTGTTACAAATTTTGTAATCATTTTGTCGATGGACCATCTGAGTAAACAAGCATCTAGCAGGCACCAAAACATAGGAACACAAGCAAAGGCCAGAAAGGTGGGACGGATCCAAATCCCTGCACCTACGATGGCCCCTATCAAGAGGTATCGTGCCTGGTCCTTTCTTGAGTGTAAAGCACTTCTTTTCGTCAAGGAGAGCACAACTAAAAGGAGGAGAAAAGCGAATAATATGGCTTCAGCTGTATTGGAAAACGTTCGCGTATAAAACACAAGGGTTACGAAGGAAGTTCCAAGAAGACATAAGGACGGTGCTGGGTCTGTTCGAAGATTTCGACAAATTACATAAACTGACAGATCAATAATCAATGAAGCACCACAAATAAATAGTCTTGGAGCCACAACAAGAGCTTTTGAACTGATAGCTTCTACACCCAAAAAGGTCCTCAAGATATACAACGGTAAGCCTGTGAAAGCGTATGGGAAAGCCGCAGATCTGACAGGAAATTCCTCCTGGAATTCCCACGTTCTTGTGTGTTTAAATTCAAATAAATCCCCAGCAGTGATCTCTGGTCCTTGAAAAAACTCGTCTGGGTGGATGTAGCCTGTTTGTGGAAGGCAAACCCAAAAGAAACGCAGAAAAACTGCAGTCAACCAGACAAAACCCGAGGTACGAGCCGCCATATTGAAGAACGAGTTTCATTTAGTTTTATACGACACTCTCACTGCAATTTTTTTTACCGCTGGTCGTTTTCATAACTATTTTGCATATGAAAGCTAGGTGACACGAAATCTGCATTATCAGTAAAGAAAACGAAACAACCCTTGGTTTGGTTGAAGACGTTAGGATTTCAATTAACTGAGTAAGGGGCGTGTAAATTAATTTTGTGAACATAAACACAGGCAGTAACACACATTTTTGCGCCAAAATATATCAACAACAGCCTCTATTTGGCGCGAAAAAATGCACGGATATTTGTCAGCGGACATTATCTGTTCCAAAATGCGAACAGTTTTCCGAGAGCGAAGGTCGAGGGAAACTGTGAACTTCGCGAATCAGATAATGTCCAAGGACAATTATACGAGCATACTGTCGCGCCAAATTAAGGCTGGTTTGTTTCAATATCCTTCAAATATTTGCAACGCGCGTGAAAAATGTATCAACGGACAGCTTACTATTTGCTGCGTGGAATGTTTCTCTTGAATGTTCTCTGGTACGACTCTATGAACAAACATGTATTGCCCTGCTTCAGTAACAACCACAAAACGCTCTCTCATCTTGAGTTAAAGTCAAACTAAACTTATCGTGGTGGAGAAAGATTTGAAATTAGGGAATCAGTTTCAGCTGGGGAACATTCGGTCACGTGATGCGTTTACACCATTCGTGCACGAGCAAAAATTCTTGATGGGTCATGAATTCGGATATTTGCACGTGGTATGTAGAGAAATTCGTTCATTTGCAGCGAGGATATAAACTCTTTGAACATTTTCTGCTTCGATAAGGAAACATATATGATGACGCTCAAGAAAATTGTGAGCTTTGCAAGCGTACATCAGGAAACCTTTCCTTATGCGCAACTTAATGGTTACTCTTCAGTACGTTTTTGAACCATCATTAGAAACCACACGTTTTTTGACTGGACGATCAAACTGCTTGCATATTAAAAAAGGAAATAAAATGAAGAAAAAAAAATGAAGAAAAAAGGGTAAGATAAATATATTCGTGCCACACCTTTAGGTTTGAAGGGCGTGCAAATTGAAGTCGCCCATCTTTTCGGTCTTGTCCCCTTATCTAGAGCCTGGTAAGGGCTAATCAAATATGATCTACACAACGATTAGAGGAATGAACTATCAAGTTTTCGTCATGATCCGATGGGATGCTTCTGGGAATATGCATATCTTATCAAGTTATTTCTTTGTTGAGAAACAAAAATTACTGTCGTTTATTTTTTTTTTTTGCAACATTACGCGTTCAATTAGCAATATTCTACTTAAAGAAATCTCTTAGATAAAAAAAAAACTTTAAAATTAATATCACATTGACTCGTTTTTCCATGTAAGAGGCTTACAAACTTCGTTAACTAATTGGGTTACAACGACCCCTCTGTAAACGGAAACACAAATTGCAGTTTAATATCAAAAGATATCACCCTACCAGCACAATTCTCAATCGTGCTTTTTGTTTCCCTCTAAGTTTCTTGCGTTTGGGGTTGTTTTCGTCGATTTTTCCGCAATCCCATAAAATCAAAGAATTGGATTCCCCCATAAGAAAAACATCGAGAAAAAGATATCTCCCCCTAAAAAGGGCGGGGGCTAAAACAATAATGTCAAATGAGAAATATCAATAATGGTAATACTAATAATAATAATTATAATGATAATGACAATAATAATAACAATAGTAATAATAATAACAATAATAATAGTAATAATAAGAATCTTGTCGAATCGCCTAATTAATAGCTGAAAACCTTGATAAAATTAGGCAGCCACATCTTTTACAAGACTACTTGATAACAAGACAAACTAGGAGATCACGTGACGACGAACTCATTCTAAATCACAAACTGTCATAAAAGATTGAGGCAAGTGCTTGCTTTGCCTTCATTACCCATCAAGTTGAAATATATGGCGGAGAGTTTGGACGACTGGGATTTCGAGCACACTTACACTTCATTAGCTTTGAAAGCTGAAAATCGGTTCAATTAATATGAAGTCTGTCTTTAAATGAAAAAGCTTAAAGGGCTGAAATGCAAGACATGGTTCTAAGTATAGCGTAATAACAAGTAAATGATGGCCTAACTAATTTATTCTTAAACTTTAGTATAATAAAAGAAAATTAACAGAGAACATAATCAAAGAAATCTATGTATTTTTCGGAAAATTCGGAAAGATAGCAAGCTTAAACGGAAGTTTCTTTTCACTGCAACAGATCCTTTGCTACAGGATACTCATCTTGGACATGTGAGGGAACAAAGCGGACTTTCTCGTCTAAGTTAACTCTTGGAGTCTTCTGTTTTCTCGGGGAACGGATCTTTTTCAGCATTGGGAGGCGGACATTACCAGTAACACACATCCCAGCAGCCAAGTCACATCTGACGTTCGAAGGGCAATAGAAAAGGGTAAATTTTTGAAGACACAAGAAAGAAAGAAAACAGAGTAAATAGACTCTCAAGAAATAATTCATCCACTGAAAATAACTACCCTTACATTAAAAGAGAGGGTGGGTCAGTTAGCTTATAAGTAACTCACTAAACGGCTAACCGATTGAAGGTCTGAATAACTAGGTGAATGACTTGAGGAAAGTTTAATAAAAAAGCAAAAAAACAAACAAGCAAATGAACAAGACGGAATGAGAACAATAAGTAAAGAAAGGGAAAATGGAAGAAACTAACATACGGTCAAACCCGTATTTAGCGGCCACCCACGAAGTATGGCCAAGAAAATAGAGGTATTGTAAAAACGATGAAAAAAACGCCATTTTATGTCACAACTGACCATTTGATGTACTAAAACTTGCTTGAAAATACTACAAACATCATTGATTTCGGGAGAAAACATGGCTTAAATTTTGCTTTAAAGATAATTCTTTCTTTAATTTGAGTGGTTCTGCTTAAGTGACCGTTCAATACAGGTGGAAGACGATACAAGCAAGCCATTGAGAGTCAGTAAAGGGTGACCACGACCGTATAACCCTTCAGCCGCTTGGTGCAGCATCTAATTTCTCCCTACAATATCACTCCTTGATCACACATTGAGGCCATGAGAATAAAGGAAATGATCACCAGGGAAGGAACCTTTAGATTAGCAAACAAATTCTCCTTATCAGCACCTTAGGAAATGTATAAAGAACAGTGTGGAGAATATGCTTACTGATGTTAGGGCGTTAAGGGTTAACAGGGGTGACCGCGTAATAGAGGTAAAAATTACGGTAATCAAGGCAAAGAAATTTCGAAACTTGGAGGGCCGACCGCTTAATACAGGTTCGACTGTAGTTATGGTGAACGAAAAAAAGGGTGAGGGGGAGGGGGAGTAGGGAATCTTTGTGTAATATTACCTATATCCCGAGGGACAGCAGTGTTTGTGGTCTTCACAGCAAACTGCATGTGGTAAAGGACAACAGCCGTAACTTCCATCAGCCAACTCACAGCAGGTCTCGTAATCCAAACAGGAACATCCATCAGGACATTTAATGTAGTTCTGTCTGGCTTCTAGAGAAAAAAAATGGGAAAAAACTGTTTTGAGATCCTTTGCAAGCAAGGAATATTAAAAAAAACTTTTTTTTTTCCACAGGCAGTTTATTGCTCTTCTTGAAATGAAATGAATGAAACAGAAGATGAAAGATATTGGTTTGAGCGCTTATATTTATGTATTAGTCAATTCATTAAATTACCAAAGTAGTTCGCAAAGAATCTTGAAACACATACCCATTATTGACCTGGAAGACGGAACATTGTGCATCATCTTTATGCGCTCAGCACTTTTATCACATTTCCCTGAAATTACACAAAGAGGGTTTTATTTTTAACATCAAAATATTACGATTATTGAACGAGTATTAAAGAGGCTGGTTATTCGTATTCAAATTTTCCACCAAATTTTACCTGTTTTTCAACCCAAAGAAACACCTTTTACACATGAAAATTCAGACGATAGCCGTGCTGGTCGATCTCGAGAATCCGATGGAATGGTTATTTACGTTTTTGTTTTGTTTTGTTTCTTTGGTTTGTTGGGTGGCAGTAACAGCTTAAACCAAGTAATTTCCATGAACAACATAAAAACAACAACAACAACAACAAAAAAGACACTGAAAGAACACCAAACACACACAGACAAAAACCGAAAAAAAAA